TCTGGGACGCGGTGTACAGGCCAAGTTTGGGATGTGTCTAGGCCGTGGTAGGGAGCATCCTGATTTCCAGGCATTTTTACATAGTTTCTTGGACACGGTGTACAGGCCACGGCCTGGACGCGGTAGGGATGCAGCCTGATTTTCAGGCATTTCTAGGCAGTTTCTGGGACACGGTGTGTAGGCTATGAACGGGATCCGTCTGGGCCGCAGCAGGTACGTAGCCTGATTTTCAAGCACTTCTAGGAAGCTTTTGGGCATGACGTATAGGCCAAGTTCGGGATGCATCCTGGCTGCGATAGGGATGCATCCTGGTTTTCAGGCATTTGTTGGCTTTTCGTGGCACAATGTGCAGGCCATATCCGGGACATGTCCTAACCGCTGAAGGGACGCAACCTGATTTTTAAGCATTTCTTGGCAATTTGTGGGACACGATGTGCAGGCCATGTTCTGGATGCATCATGGCCACGGCAGGGACGGATCCTGATTTTCAAGCAGTTTTGGGCAATTTCTGGGACACGATGTGCAAGCCATGTCCAGGATACGATAAGGACGCATCCTGACTTTTAGGTATTTTTAGGCAGTTTCTAGTACACGGTGTGCAGGTAATGTCCGGGACGCATCTAGGCCGCGGCAGGGATTCAACCTGGTTTTCGGGCATTTCTAGACATTTTTTCTGGGACACAGTGTGCAGGCCAACCTAATTTTCACGTATTTCTCGACAATTTCTTGGAACCGATGTGCAGGCAATGTCTGGGATACGTTGGGGTTGCTGCAGGGATGCAGCATGATTTCCAGGCCCTTCTAGGCAGTTTCTAGGACACGGTGTGATGCCATGTCCAGGATGAAGTAGGGACGCAGCCAAATTTTCAGGCATTTTAAGGCAGTTTCTAGGACACGGTGTGCAGGCCATGACCAGGATGTGTCTGGGCCACGATAGGGACGTCGCTTGATTTTCAGGCATGTCTGGGATGTTTTTGGGCACGGTGTGCAGGGCACGTCCGGGACGCGTCCTAACCGTGGTAGGGATACAGCTTGATTTTCAAGCATTTATAGACAGTTTGTGGGTACGATGTGCAACCCATATTCGGGACACGTCCTGGCCTCGGTAAGGACACCGCCTTATTTTCAGGCATTTCTAGGACTCGGTGTGCAGGCCATGTTCGGTACGCGTCGAGGCATGGTAGGGATAGAGCTTGATTTTTAGGGAATTCTGGGCAATTTTTGGGACATGGTGTGCAGGCCATGTCAAGGATGCAACAAGGACGCATCCTGACTTTCACGTATTTTTAGGTAGCTTCTAGAGCACAATGTGCAAGCAATGTACGGGATGCGTCTGGGCCGCGCTAGGGATGCAGCCTAATTTTTAGGCATTTGTTGACAGTTTGTGGGCACGGTGTACAAGCCATGTTCGGGACGCATCCAGGCCGCGGCTGGGACGTCGCCTAATTTTCAGGCATTTCTTGGGAATTTCTGGGACTCAGTGTGCAGGCCATGTCCGGGACGCGTCATGGCCAAGGCAGGGACGGAGCCTGCTTGTTTAATCAATTCTGGGCAGTTTTGTGAACACGGTGTGCAGGCCATGTCCAGGACACGGTGTGCAGGGACGCATCTAGACTTTCAGGTATTTTTAGGCCATTTCTAGAACACGATGTGCAGGCAATATTCGGGATGCGTCTGATCCATGGCAGGGATGCAGCCTAGTTTTCAGGCAGTTTTCGAGACATGGCGTGCATGCCATGTCCAAGACGCTGCAGGGATACATCCTGATTTTCACGTTTTTCTATGTTGTTTCTTGGACACGATGTGTAGGCAATGTTCGAGACTGATGCAGCCTAATTTTTAGGCATTTCTAGGTAGTTTTCGAGACATGGTGTGTAGGCGATGTCCAGGATGCAACCTGATTTTTAAGCATTTCTCGTCAATTTCTGGGTCACGGTGTGCAGGTCATGTCAGGGACACGTTCGGGCCACGACAGGGAAAGAGACTAATTTTAGGTAATTTTGGGCAGTTTTTGAGCACGGTGTACAGACCATGTTCGGGATGCACCCTAGCCAGGTAGGGACACAGCCTGATTTTCATACATTTCTAGGCAGTTTGTGGACATAGTGTGGAGGCTAAGTCCGGGACGCATCTTGGCCGTGATAGAGACGCGACCTGATTTTCAGGCATTTCTAGGTAATTTTTGGGTCTTAGGGTTTTTATAAATCAATTTAGAATTAAAACCAGAAAATATATACGTGACAAAGAATAATGAAAAAAAAATGTAGCTCGACGTTAGAACCTATGAATAATAAAACTAGTCTACACAACAAAACCAAACTTCCCATCGTCACAGTGCCACAAATAAACCCCTCCTTCTCCTTTAGACCAGTACCACCGTTAGTCGGGGCTGGCACCGTGCATGGTAGTGGTGATGGTGATGATGAGGAGAAGGTGTATGGGCTGTAGATTGGTGGCCGAAGCCATGTTTATAGGATAGAACCATAGCCTCTACCTTTTGACCCTTCTGGCAATGTTCTTCAGCTCCACTAATGAAGAAAAATGGACTTGATTTTTCCAGTGAAATTGTAGTTTCTCCATCACGGTGTTATTTTATTGGATTAGCATTGTTGCAAATTTTGTAGTCTTCCTTGGTCACTTCCAGCACTGAATCAATCTTGGAATCATACTTCAGAACTAAAGAATCCTCGATCTAAAAACGTATTTTCTCAGCCCATTTGTTGAACTCGTCAACAGAAGATGGAACTGCACATAAATTATTTTCACCATCTACTGCGAACTCTCTTGCATCAGAAAGAACACACAATAAAAGCACGACATCCAAAAATAAGAAAGTCTTTTTGAGTGAAACTATTTTAAGTGAAAAATCAATAGATTTTCAAATAAAATTTGAGTAATTTTGTAGACAATAGAATAGAATGGTTTAGGGTTTAGGGTTCCGGGTGCAGGTTTAGGTTTCAGGGTCCAAGGTCCAGGGCTTAGGTTTATGGTTTAGGGCTTAGGGTTTAGAGTTCAAGGTTTAGATTTTTTTTTTAACCAAATACCACTAGTGTGGTTTATTTAAATAATGAAAAGCAAGAATACAACTAAAGGAGGGGCATAGACCTGACCTCCAGCAAATGTAAATTGTAACAAATATCTCAAGATAAAATGCAAACACAATAAACAAGACATGAACAAAAAACTATTGAAAGCTACTCAAAGGTATTCCCGAGGGTAAATCTTTGGGTGGTAATACATAGACATCGATCGGGTCTGAAAAATTTTTGGATCATAGTAGTCTGCGTTGTCTGGCTCGCTCGTTGGAGTGGGGTCTCGCCTGCGTGAAGGAGCCTATTTTGGTGAAAAGTACTGTTAAGATGGTGGTGCACTGAATGTCGGGTGAAAAGTGGGTGTGTCTGATCTGTGTATGTTCTTTAACCTTATTTTGTGTAGAAGCTATTATAGAAGGATCAGGTGAAGGTGGTTTGAGGAACTCTCCTAGTACCTAAACCCTTTGCTGACTGAGTACCATCTATGTATGTTTTCAATGGTGGAGAACTGATATGTGTCAACTCAGGGGATACATCAGTAGTAGCTGTGGGAATAGGAGCTATGGAAGTAATAATAGGAGAAGTGGGCACCTCGATAGGAGCATTTGGAGTAGGATCAGTAATTGAATGAATATATGGAGGTGCCTCTAGATCAACTGTGATAGGAGTAGATGTAGGAACTGCTGGTACAGATGCTGACTCTGTCACAACTGTGATAGTAGTAGTGGGAAGCACAGAAGGCACTGCTAAAACTGGCACCCATTGTTTCTTTGGCTCCACAAATGTCACCTCGTCTTTATCCTTGTCAGCCCTAGTAATAGGGGGCTAAACAGGGAGATGCACAACAACTGTAAGGAGAGGAGGAGGAACACTAATACACTGATCATAAGAATGGCCCAAGTGTTTATAATAGAAGTAAAAAAATAGCCGCTTCTAATAAAAAACTATTTGCCAAAAGCCACGATTACCGGCGCGCTCAATCGAAACACTCTCAGGTAAGTTATACCTCAAATTCACCTCAATACACACCCTTACCTCACTAGGGCGTCTCAAGTCAGAGGTGGCATCATCAAGGTTTAGGACTTAGGTATTTTTTTTTTAGTAAAGACATCCACACATCCTTAATGACTTTTTAGGGTCCACCAAGGAAGGTCAATGGGGGTTAAGGGTTTCCCAACCGTATTTATTTCATAAAAATCAAGAGTACAGGGAAGGGGGGCATAAACGTGACCTCCAAAAAGCAACAGTGCAACAACTGAAAAATTAAAAATGAACAAAGTAAATGAGGAAGTACTACTTCCTTGTACAAGAAAAATGCAATAATGATAGCCTAAACTACAAACCTCTAAAGCTGGGCAATCCATGTCTGTCGATCTGCACCAATGCCCTAATCTGTCGAGGCTGGTCGAGGTTTAGGGCTTACTGTTTATGGTATAGGGTTTAGGGTATTTTTTTTCCTGAATTGCCTTTTAATAAGTTCTAACGAAGCAGTAGAATTCAATTTTACAGATATTTGTAAAGTCATAGAGTGTTTAACTAAGCTAAAACACAATAATTGTAGGATAATAATTATTAGCTAGATTAGAAGAAGTCATTGTATGGACTTAATTGAGGAGGAAGCTGAGAAGATGAGACCACATCCATCAAATCCGTGTCCATTGTGCTTTCAAAGGTTGTACCTTGATCAATTGTTGGCAGAATTGTTGTTGAATTTACGTTTCCAGCATTGCCTCCATCCCATCGATATGAAAAGTACAACTCATCAGGTTAAATCTGTGAAGCTTCAGTCTCCATGCTTCGAAAGTTAGAATTAAATTTGAATTCTCAGAAGGGAAAAAATTTATTTCCCATAGGGTTTGGAGCATAATAGAATAAGTCATTTTCCACATATTCTACAGTAGGCAGTTGAGAATCAGTTGTTTGTAAAATCTCCAGGGAAGTGAAGAAGATGGTGGGACGATTATAATTTTAATCAATGTTGAAGGTATAAGTATTCTTAGATGTCCCTTCAGTTGGATTCATTGGTCGACGATGATCGACTGGAATTGAATCGATGGACTGATTGTTTTCAAATAGGGTTTTCATGAAATCCATTTCATCATTGGATGTTTCGAAATTGAAAAAGGGTGTAGAGTCATAATCATCAAAGAGTGGTGTGCCAGCATTGGACGGATTGGCTGCAGTGGTGGTGGTGCCGAAATTAGAGTTAGTGGAGGTAGAACCATTACTGAAATACTTTTTTATGATGTAATCTTGTAATAGTGTTGGCTGTCTTCTATCTCCTTTTACTTTCTTTATCTTTCTCCTTGAAATTTGCCTCCTTTTTGTGGCATTCCAGTGATTCTTTATTGAATTTTTAGTTCTTCCAGGAATGTACTTAGCTATCTCCACCCATCGATTTCCAAGTCTTTCATGTGCTTGAATTAACCGTCTTTCTTCATCTTCGGTCTAAATGTCCTTCTTGATATGAGGACACAGATGATTATTCCATCACTCACGACACTGTTTTCCCACTCTACCAACCATTTCTTCAGCTATTACAACCCATTTCCTCAATCCAAATTGATGTACTAAGCTAATCAATCTTTTGTCTTCTTCGCCTGTCCACTGGCCTTTTATCTGATACTCGGAAGAAGAACTACCATCTCTCTTCTCCTTCTGATCAGGATTGACCGGTGTAGCTATCACATTTACTGAAAGATTTTCACCCGAAGTCATTTTCCACATATTCTACAGCAGGCAGTTGAGAATCAATTGTCTATAAAATCTCCGGGGAAGTAAAGAAAATGGTGGGATGATTATAATTTTCAACAATGTTGAAGCTATAAGTATTCTCAGATGTCCCTTCAGCTGGATTCATTGGTTGACAATGATCCACTGGAATGAATCGATGGACTGATTGTTTTCAAATAGGGTTTTCATGAAATCCATTTTGTTATTGCATGATTCGAAATTGAAAAATGGTGTAGAGTCTCCATCACAAGAGAGTGGTGTGCTAGTATTAGACAAATTTGCTGCAATCGTGGTGGTGCTGAAATTTGAGTTAGTGGAGGCAGAACCATTACTGAAATACTTTTTTATGATGTAATCTTATAATAATGTTGACTGTCTTCTATCTCCTTTTACTTTCTTTATCTTTCTCCTTGAAATTTGCCTCCTTTTGTGGCATTCTAGTGATTCTTATTGAATTTTTTATTCTTCTACGAATGTACTTAGCTATCTCTGTCCATCGATTTCCAAGTCTTTCATATGCTTGAATTAACCGTCTCTCTTCATCGTCAGTCAAAACGTCTTTCTTGATATGACGACCCAGGTGATTATTCCATTGCTCGCGACACTATTTTCCCACTCTACCAACCATTTCTTCAGCTATTACAGCCCATTTTCTCAATCCAATTTGATGTACTAAGCTAATCAGTCTCCTATCTTCTTCGCCTGTCCATTGGCCTTTTATCTAATATCCGAAAGAAGAGCTATTCTCTCTCTTCTCCTTTCGATCAGGATTGACCAGTGCAGGTATAACATTTACTGATAGATTTTCACCCGAAGTTTGTTTTTCATGTTGAACTCCTTCCATGAAGCTTCGCTCTCCGGTGGTGTAATTACTTGTAGTGTCATTTGAAGAAAAATTTTGAAACTGATTTACTTCATTAAAAGGAAAATGGTTTAGGGTCCAGGGTTTAGGGTTTAGGATCCAGGGTCCAGGGTCAGGGCTTAGGGTTTAGGGCTTTGTCCTTACAGCTTTGGGCCTGGGGTTTAGGTTTTCTGGGACATGGTGTGTGGGACATATCCAAGACGTAGCCTTATTTTTAGGCATTTCTAAGGAGTTTCTGGGACACGGTGTGCAAGCTATATCCGGGATGCGTCCTGGCCGCGGACTCAATCTGATTTTTAGCTATTTCTGGGTAGTTTATGGGCACAGTGTGTAGGCCATGTCCGAGAGGCATCCTAGCCGCGTACGCAATTTGATTTTTAGGATTTATAGGTAGTTTCTGGGACATGGTGTGCAGGCCATATTTGGGATGCTTCCTGGTCGCGGATGCAATCTGATTTTTAGGCATTTCTAGGTAGTTTATGGGCACGGTGTGCAAGCCATGTTAGGGGTGCATGCATGTTCCCTAACATTTTGGGCAGTTTTGGGACGTTGTGTTCTCGCCAAATTCGGGACAAGTCATGGCCACGGAAGGGACACAGCTTGATTTTCAAGCATTTTTCGACAGTTTTTGGGCACTGTGTGCAGGCCATGTCCGGGACGCATCCTGGAGATGACAGGGATGCAACCTCATTTTCAGGCATTTCTAGGTAGTTTCTAGGTCATGGTGTGCAGGCCATGTTCAAGACGCATCCGAGCCACGGCAGGGATGGAGCCTGATTTTTAGGCATTTTAGAGCAGGTTTTTGGCACGGTGTGCATACCATGTGTGGGACACATCGTGATCGTGGCAGGAAAGTAACCTAATTTCTAGGCATTTCTAGGCAATTTTTGGGACACGGTGTGCAGGCAATGTCCAAGATGCGGCAAGGATGCAGCCGGATTTTCATGATATTCTAGGTAATTTCTGGGATGAGGTGTGTAGGCCATGTCCAGGACTCGTCTGGGCCACGACAGGCATGCAGCCTGATTTCTAGGCATTTCTACGCAGTTTTTGGGACACAGTGTGCAGGCCATGTCCTAGCCGTGGTAGGGACGCACCCTGATTTTCGAGCATTTCTAAGCAATTTCTGTGTCACAGAGTGTAAGCCATGTCCAGGATGCGGCAGGGACGTATCCTAATTTTCAGGTATTTCTAGACAGTTTTCTAGTACACAGTGTGCAGGTAACGTCTGAGATGCGTCTGGGCTACGGCAGGGATGCAACCAAATTTCCAGGCATTTCTAGGTAGCTTTTGGGACACAGTGTGCAAGCCACGTCCACGACGTGTCAGGGACGTAGCATGATTTTTAGGCAGTTTCTGGGAGACGGTGTGCAGGCCATGAACGGGACGCTTCTGGGTGACGGCAGGGATGCAGCTTGATTTTCAGGCAATTCTGGGAAGTTTTTGGGCACGGTGTGCTGGCCACTTCTGGGAGCTGCCTGACCGTGGTGGAGATGCCTCCTAATTTTCAGGCATTTGTAGGCAGTTTGTGGGGACAGTGTGCAAGCCATGTCCATGATGCGTCCTAGTCGCGGTAGGGACGCATCCCAATATTCAGGCATTTCTTGGAAATTTTATGGACTTGATGTGCAGGCCATGTTTGGGACGTATCATGGCCACGGTAGGGACGGAGCCTGATTTTCAAGCAATTCTGGGCAGTTTCTAGGACTCGGTGTGCAGGCAATGTCCAGGATGTGACAGGGACACATCTTGACTTTTAGGTATTTTTAGGCAGTTTCTGGAACATGGTGTGCAGGGAATGTTCGGGATGTATCTGGGCTGCGGTAGGGATGTAGCCTGCTTTTCAGGCATTTCTAGGTAGTTTTTGGGATAGACCATGTAGGCCATGTCCAGGATGCTGCAGGGACACATCCTGATTTTCACGTATTTTTAGGCAATTTCTTGGACATGGTGTGCAGGCAATTTTCGAGACGCGTCGGGGCTGCTGCAGGGATGTAGCCTAATTTTCAGGCATTTTTAGACAATTTCTGGGACATGTGTGCAGGCCATGTCCAGGATGCGGTTGGGACGCAGCTTGATTTACAGGCATTTCTAGGCAATTTTTTGGGATACGGTATGCAGGCTTTGATCGAGACGCATCCGGGCCACGTCAAGGACGCAGCTTGATTTTCAGGCATTTGTGGAAAGTTTTTGTGCACGGTGTGTAGGCCATGTTCGGGACGCGTCCTTGCCGCAGCAGGGACAAATCCTAATTTTCAGGCATTTGTAGGCTTTTTGTGGGCACGATGTGCAGGCTATATTCGGGACATGTCCTAGCCGCGATAGGGACGCAGCCTGATTTTCAGGCATTTCTTGGCAATTTCTGGGACTCGGTGTGCAGGCCATGTTCGGGACGCATCATGGCCATGGCAAGGAAGGAGCCTAATTTTCAGGCAATTTTGGGTAGTTTTTGGGACACGATGTGCCGGCCATGTCCAGGATGCAGCAAGGATGCATCCTAACTTTAACTTATTTTTAGGCAGTTTGTGGAACACGGTGTGCAGGCAATGTCTGGGATGCATCTTGGCCATGGCAGGGATTCAATCTGGTTTCCAGGAATTTCTAGATAGTTTCTGGGACACGGTGTGCAGGTCATCCTGATTTTCATGTATTTCTTGACAATTTCTTGGACACGGTTTGTAGACAATGTTCGGGATGCGTCGGGCTACTGTAGGGATGCAACATGATTTCCAAGCCCTTCTAGGCAGTTTTTGGGACACGGTGTGCAGGTCATGTCCAGGCCGGGACAAGGACGCAGCTAGATTTTTAGGTATTTTAAGGCAGTTTCTAGGACATGGTGTGCAGGCCATGACTAGGATGCATTCGGGCCACGATAGGGATGCAACTTGATTTTCAGGCAATTCTGGGAAGTTTTTGGGCATGGTGTGCAGGGCACGTCCGGGACTCGTCCTGGCCGTGGTAGGGACGCAGCTTGATTTTCAAGCATTTGTAGGCAGTTTGTGGGCACGGTGTGCAGGCCATGTCCGGGACGCGTCCTAGCCTCGGCAAGGACACAGCGTGATTTTCAGGCATTTCTTGGCAATTTCTAGGACTTAGTGTGTAGGGCATGTCCGAGATGCGTCATGGCCATGGTAGGGATGGAGCCTAATTTTCAGGTAATTCTGGGCAATTTATGGGACACGGTGTACAGGCCATGTCCAGGATGCGACAGGGACACATCTTGACTTTCAGGTATTTTTAGGCAGCTTTTGAAGCACAGTGTGCAGGCAGTGTCTGGGACGTATCTGGGCCGCTATAGGGATGCAGCCTGGTTTTTGGGCATTTTTAGTCAGTTTCTGGGACATGGTGTTCAGGCCATGACTAGGACGCGTCAGGGTGATGCAGGGATGTAGCCTAATTTTCAGGTATTTCTAGGAAGTTTTTGGACAAGGTGTGCAGGCCGTGTCCAGGACGCATCCTGGCCACTGTAGGGATGCAACCTAATTTTCAGGTATTTGTAGGCAGTTTGTGGGCATGGTGTGCAGGCCATGTCTGGGAAGCATCTTGGTTGTGATTGGGACGCCGCCTAATTTTCAAGCATTTCTTTGCAATTTTTGGGACTCGATGTGCAGGCCATGTCTGGGATGCGTCATGGCCAAGGCAGGGACAGAGCCTGACTTTCAGGCAATTCTAGGAAGTTTCATGGACACGGTGTGCAAGCCATGTCCAGGATGCGGTAGGGACGAATCCAGACTTTCAGGTATTTTTAGGCGGTTTCTGGAACACAATGTGCAAGCAATGTTTGGGACGCATCTGGTCCGCGACAGGGATGCTGCCTGGTTTTCAGGCAGTTTTCGGGACACGACGTGTAGGCCATGTCCAGGATACTGCATGGACATATCCTAATTTTTACGTTTTTCTATGTAGTTTCTTGGATACGATGTGCAGGCAATGTCCAGGACTCATCTGGGCTGCAGCAAGGATGCAGCCTAAACAGGGGGATACATAACAACTGTAGGGAGAGGAGAAGGAACAGTAGTCCACTGATCATAAGAATGGCCCAATTATTTACAAGAGAAGCAAAAAATCGACCGATTCTAATAAATAACTGTCTGTCAAAAGCCACGGTTACCGACGCACTCAATCCAAACACTTTCGGGCAACTTATGCCACAAATTCACCTCATACACACCCTTACCTCACTAGGGCCTCTCAAGTCAGAGGTGGCCTCATCGAGGTTTAGGGCTTAGGGTTTAGGTTTTTTTCCCTGAATTTCCCTTTAATAAGTTCTAACGAAGCAGTGGAATTCAGTTTTACTACTATTTGTAAAGTCATAGAGTGTTTAACTAAGTCAAAACACAATAATTATAGGATAATAATTATTAATTAGATTAGAAGAAGCCATTGTATGGACTAATTGAGGGGGCAGCTGAGAAGATGAGACCATGTCCATCAAATCCGTGTCCATTGTGATTCCAAAGGTTGTACCTTGATTAATTGTTGGCAGATTTGTTGTTAAATTTATGCGTCCAGGATTGCCTCCATCCCATTGATATGAAAAGTACAACTCATCAGGATAAATATGTGAAGCTTCAGTCTCCACGCTTCGAAAGTTAGAATTAAATTCCATGATTAAATCTGAATTCTCAGAATGGAAAAATTTATTCCTCATAGGGTTCGGAGCAGAATAGAATAAGTCATTTTCCACATATTCTACAGCAGGCAGTTGACAATCAGTTGTCTTTAAAATCTACGGGAAAGTGAAGAAAATGGTGGGATGATTATAATTTTCATCAATGTTGAAGCTATGAGTATTCTCAGATGTCCCTTTAGCTGGATTCATTGGTTGAAAATGATCGACTGGAATTGAGTCGATGGACTGATTGTTATCAAACAGGGTATTCATGAAATCCATTTCGTTATTACGTGATTCGAAACTGAAAAATAGTGTAGAGCCTTCATCACTAGGGAGTGGTGTGCCGGCGTTGGACGGATTTACTGTAGTGGTGGTTGTGCCGAAATTTGAGTTAGTGGAGGTGGAACCATTACTGAAATACTTTTTTATGTTGTAATCTTATAATAATGTTAGCTGTCTTCTATCTCCTTTTACTTTCTTTATCTTTCTCCTTGAAATTTGCCTCCTTTTTGTGGCATTCCAGTGATTCTTTATTGAATTTTCAGTTCTTCCAGGAATGTACTTAGCTATCTCTGCCCATCGATTTTCGAGTTTTTCATGTGATTGA